ATTCCTCCTAACTTGGAGTACTGCTCTCATATCTGGGGTGGCTCTTCTTCTGTCCAACTATTAGATAGGGTGGAATCAAAGGCATTTCGTCTTATTAACTCTCCTCCTTTAGTCGACAATCTCTCTTCCCTTTCTCTTCGCCGCAATTTTGCTTCACTCTCTCTCCTTTACTGGTACTTTAATGGGAAAGTTCGGTGGATTTGGCATCCTGTATGCCGCCGGCAAGGCCGTGGGCTCGTAACACACGTTTTGCCAGCGGTGCCCACCGTTTCTCTGTGGATGTCGGTCACACGAGAATACCCCGTTATAGTACCTCCTTCTTTCCTCACACAGCCAAACTGTGGAATGCTTTGCCTTCTTCTGTTTTTCCATACTTATATAATCTGTCTCGCTTTAAAAAGCTGGTTTTCCGGCATCTTCGTGGTGTTGATTAACACAGTATAACCTTCTTCTCGATTTTCAATTTCTTTCTGCTCTTTTTTTTTCGCCCCCCAGGCCCTGTTGTGGGTCGTTTGACCTGTGTCCGGGTGGGCTAATTCCCGTAAAAAAAAACCTCTAATGGTAAGACAGCCGACATTTTAAGATTGTATCCATTTTTTTCCACTCAGTAGCTATATCATTTTTCATATATAGACCCAAATACACAATGTGCTTGATTACGTCTCACGCAAGTGTGAATAACACTTGTCAACCACCAGCGAGACAAGACGTGCCCTGAAGGCGCTCCAAGTTTGAGCAGCTAGACCGAGTCTGTTTGGCCCTGCCCACCCCCCCCCCCCTCTTCCTATATTTCAACGCCCTACCAGTCTTACTACACCGGGATTTATTTAGCAAAACATTCAAGTGATCAGTGAACGATTGACTACCAAACATTGTTCCTATAGTGCAGTCCAAGGAAAGGCACAAACACACAGCAGTGTAATACTGAGTGTGGCTGGATCTGACCTAACCTGACCTGACCTCACGGCTTCACCTGACCTAACCTGAAGGATGGAGCACACCTGCATTGCCCCAAGCTACTGTCCTGGCCACGTGGACACACACCTGCCCAACCTCATCCAGCCCATACGAGCACGTACTGATTACATAAACATAAGAACATAAGAAAATAAGGAGTCTGCAATAGGCCGGTTGGCCTGTGCATGGCAGCTCCTGTCGAGAGTTACTACCACTCTCTATCATCCATGAATCTATCTAGCCTCCTTTTGAAACTTTCAAGAGTTCCCGCACTTACTACAAAGTTGCTAAGCTTGTTCCACTCGTCCACCACCCTATTTGTGAACCAGTTTCTTCCTATCTCCCTCCTAAACCTAAACTTATCCAACTTGAATCCGTTGCTCCGAGTCCTATCCTGCTCGGATATTATAAGAACTTTATCTATATCCCCCTTTATTGATTCCTTTCACCCACTTAAATACTTCTATCATATCTCCCCGCACTCTTCGTCTTTCTAGGGAATACAAGTTAAGTTTCTTTAACCTATCCTGATATGGAAGGTTTCTAAGTCCCGGAATCATCTTTGTCATTCTTCGCTGCACCGACTCTAGTGAATTTATATCCATTCTATAATAGGGGCACCAGAACTGAACCGCATAATCGAGGTGCGGCCTGACTAGCGCAAGATATAGTTGCAATAAAACCTCTGCACTCTTGTTACTTACACTTCTAGATACAAAACCCAATACTCTGTTTGCATTATTTCGAACATTAACGCACTGTTTTCTAGGCCGTAGGTCCGGGCTATAAGAACAGCCCAGTCCCAACCATTGCAAAAATTATCAACACCTAATTATTATATATCATATTTATATCACTTATGTTACCTGTATATCATTGTAAATCAAGAGACCCACTCCCCAATTATGTAATTGTATATTTTCAGCCTTCCTGCTGCCATGCTCTTTCAATAAACCGTTAATTATTATTATTATTATTATTATTATTATAAGTATGAGGCCCGACATATTGTCTCACACTGCTGTCCTCACGTAGTTGCGAATAAGTCAGACTCTATGTACAGAACTAAACAAAGAATTTAATTGAAATACTCTGTAATATTCAATGTCATAATAACCTGACCACTGGGGTTAGTTATAAAGACCCTTTGCGAACTCTACTCTGTAATCCTTCTGCGCTACCACTCACAGGGTGGATACGGGGTGCTCAATAAACTAGACGCTGTTCGTGTCAAAATCAAAATAAATTAAAATTGATCTTGCTCTCTTTTTGTCTCATTCCCTTTATGTGAAATTAGATAAGAATTGCTTTACCTACCCCTTATGTCAACCTGAGTGTCCTTGCTTCACAGCTTCTCTTTCTATTCGCCTCACCGTCAACCAATATTGTTTTTTTATCTCTTATTCCTTCATTAGTTCACGTCGCCCCATCACACCGTTTCCCCTCCCCCCTATCATAGCTTTTTGAGTTATTCATTTATCTCCTACTTCTTCATTCATCATTCCATTAGACCATCTGAGCTAACGGTTCTTCCTCATGAATCCATAACTGTTCATTGTGGATGTGTCACCGCTGTACGTGTTGTACTGCGCACATCATTGTCATCCTTTAATTCATATTACGCTACTTAACATTCAAATCCACCGCGCTTGTAGAATATCAGAAAACGGGAAACGTTGATAAAGGATAACTCACCTACTGAATGTTTATGAATTATTTGATGAATTGTACTCAGGTACGGGAATATAATATTAAGCGTATGTAATCATAGCATTAAGGAGAACTCAAGGTATCTATAAGATGGTTGGGAAAGTCCAATCGATACGGACTAGTGTACTATAAGGGCTAAGTGTAGATCGTGTTTGAAGGTCATTCTAATTATGTCTGTGAACTATTAGTGAACCTAACTACCGCAAGTATCAGATGAAAATATAAAAGAACATTAATTTGGAAAAAGGATAAATGTATCAGACCTATGTAAAGTGTTGGGAGTGATCCAGAAACTATACTTCAAAGGAGATATCTTGTATGCATTGGTGTGAACTTAATACACCTCGTTATCTCGTGTGACGTATACCCACGAACTATACATTGATCAGAAAATCTTATGACTGTGTTCAACGAATACAATGTGTGAGGGGAGGACCCCTAATTACAGTTTTGAGTGAAGTGGATATGCCCACGCCATTAAATTCGACGTTCGGCTTTTGTTCAAAGTCAGCGTCCTTTGTGCCCCGGGCCACAGTTTTGAGTCAACGTTATCGCCCAATTAAATTCCCAGAGAACAATCAAACCAGAGCCTTACTTTAGTGTGCAATTTAGGATTAAGATATATAATTATAAGGCATAAGGTCACAATTGATAGAAAAATGGAGATGTGAGAACCATAAGAATTCAAAGCGAAAATAAAACAAATAGAAACTGTAGGCCTAGTTCAGTGAGAGACGCAGGTCAGTGAACTCTATCGTGCTCTATTCAGCCCTAAAAGGACTTATCTAGCAGTTTTTACATCTTAAAACCTTGCCTGATGTTATAAAGTGAAGTCATAGTGTACTAGTGTGTGGTGATGAAAGCCCCTCAGGCATTTTACTCAGTGATGCCCGACTCCTCACCAAACAGGTACCACGTGTTCTGAGCGTCTTCTGCGCATCAGCCATGACCACACTGTGAGGGCCACACCATGTGAGGTGACTCTACACAGTTATGTTCCTCCACTGTGAACACGTGGATCCCCTGCATATCATCACCCAGGCATAGGAGCACATAATAGTATGAGAAGATTCGAGGTCGCCACTTGGAGCGACTTAGAGTACCAGGCGTGGAACCAGTACTGGTATGATTACCGGGGAAGTATCCCATCTGCTCCTCAAGAGTAGTGTGTGAACGAGGCAACTAGTATGTGTACCTAAGAATACCGATGAGTTTCATACTTGTAGGTGTGGAGTGTACCCGAGATGTGGTGCTATAATATAATATGTGGTGCTGTAATGTAACAGGTGGTGCTATATTCTAACAGTTGGAGCAGTCTGATGTGTTGGGCGATATGGTAAGAAGGAATGACCGAGGTAAGGAGGTCAATGATTGTTATGAAGAATGAGTATGTTAATGATACTCATTTGATGTAAGACGTGTATTAATGCGAAGTGTAAGGAAAATAATAGTTGTACTTCTGAGGAAGGCCAACACTTCTTTTATTTTGACAGGATGCAATATGTTTTATAAGGAATAAATTAGTTAAGACATGTTTGATGTTTCACCCTTCTTCCCACTATCGATTTGGTCATTGAAAAACCCAACACAATGCCTAGCTAACTCTGCCCGCTACCTAACGAGCTACATACTGTCAATGGGGAATCTGGTGGCAGCGACCTTAAAATTAAGAATAGAGTTAAGTTATCCCCTTAGAATTAGTGACCCCATAATCTAGCAGTATAGTGTGGTTCATCCACGTAGGAGTCAGAGAGGGTTTCTACAGTAATTACACGAGAACTGATCCGGTTGATCTCTTTTTAATTGTTGATGGCTAGTGCGTGTGCAGTACTCGTAGTCTATGCCTTTAAAGACCTTAGCTGTTGAAGCCCAGTAATACAACATCAATATTCACTGAATCTTAAGAAATTGTGCTACCTTCACTGCTGTCTTTGGCTGCAGTCAATCGTCTTCACCAAAAGTAATACGGATCACTTGAAGATAAATCCCAGCTTATTTCACATGAAGATAAACCACACTGTCGTTAGCCTAACCTAACATAACCTAACGTAAAGTAACGAAACCTAACCTAACCCTTAGGCAATGTTAGGGTGGTTAATTTTCAGGTGAAATAAGCTGGGGTTAATCTCCAGGTGATCTAATAAAGGTGAAATTCTCCCTCTTATTGAAGCTCTCACAGCCCCTCTTTCAAACCTAGTCTTCATAATTCTTATACAGTATTCACCATTTGTCCTGCTCATTTACTTTCATAATCTTTCCATAATAGGATTCAACATCTGCATCGTCTCGCTCAATAAAAGTTCACTCGATATACAAAAATGTTCATGTTTTACCTGACATACTGAGAGCGTCGATCGTAATGTAGCGAAAACTAGCGAGGCGAAGAGTGAGGGATGGTGATGTGTGCAAGTCTGGCGAATACTAGGGACTGGCGATGCTTGTAGTTGAGGAGGAGGCGGATATCAGCTGATTAACATGAAGGGCAATAATAACGCCCCCTCCCTAGCGCCCTCACCTGATATTACATCATGTGTCACTCATTACCAAACACCAGGAACCTTCATTAAAAAAAAAAAATAATAATAATAATCATAATTAGGAACAACAATAACTTAGAATAAGAAATAATTCCACAAAATTTTCTTAATCGAATTTCTATAGTATGGGAGTGAAGTCGAGAGCAAGTTGACATATATGTAACAAAGGAGGTTGATGGATGCGTCATAGGAGGTGTGTGGCCATAGAGTCGTGTGTTATCACTCACCCTTACACACAATGATACACCACAACAATGCAAGGGTGATAAGTGGCCAGATCGTGATTGTTACTCACTGTTGACGTCACCAGCCCGCGGGGACATTAATTCTGTATGAATAATTTGTGTTAAAATTCACAAGGAATGAGGACTTATGTAAATAACAAAGAGAATAGTTAATGTGAATAATGAAACAACTGACCACACACAAGTCGCCCTAACTATACGTGAGAGAGACGAATATTTTTAGATATGTGAAATTCTAACAGTAATTGAGATCACTCTTGAAGATTAGCTCTAGCTTATTTCACCTGACGATTAAACACTAACGCTAACCTAACATAACCTTCCCTCTAGGTAGCATTAAGATGTTTAATCATCAGGTAAAGTAAGCTGGGGTGCTTAATGTTCAGGTGATCCATATTATTAACAGAGGGGTGATGATGAGAGTTACAGCACGAAATTAGCACATGACAACATACAAAGATAGGGCTTGTGTTTCTTCTTGGTTCCTTCCACCTTACGATACTGATATTATTGCATCTTAGCTGCTTACTAATTATTATTGTTATTATTATTATTATTATTATTATTATTATTATTATTATTATTATTATTATTATTATTACTATTATTATTATTATTATTATTATTATTATTATTATTATTATTATTATTATTATTATTATTATTATTATTATTATTATTATTATTTACATAATGCCCACTCGAACTACGTGTGCCCATGCCGAGGAAAGAAGGCCGGTGGTCTGAATATGGTTCCCTCTGTTGTTTTTTTAGTCTTGTTAAAGGCTATTTCGAAGCCTAGTACTGTTCTCGGTTCCACCCTCTTAGGTGCCACTAGGGGGGTTCAGGGTCTCACTTGGCTCAGTCATATCAATATTGTTGTTATTGTTTACTCTGTATCTGTACAATTTATTTCTGGCTAAATAAACTGTTTTAATATTAACATAAATTTCACTGTCACATCATAAAGGGGATGTCGACAAGACTTTGTCGGTCTCTTTAATGATGATCTGAGTTGATAAGTGAGAGTAGGTCCTCCACAAGTGCAATATCTACTGACGACCCTACCGATCCTGCATTGGCCTGTCGAGCCACCTCAGAGCTCCCCAAAGAGGGATAAATCACTTACAGCTCATATCATTGTACCATCGCTGGATGGTCGTCATATTCGATTTCGAGTGAAAGTAGTTGATCAAGGCAGCTTCACTCCTCTAGTGTTCACAACCTCTGGTGGGATGGGCCCAAGTGAAAGATGTTTCTACGCCAGACTCGCGGAGTTGATCTCCGAACAGAAGCAGCAGCCCAGAAGTTATGTTACAGCCTGGGTGAGATGTCGACTGTCTTTCTCTCTCCTTCGGTCGGCTTTGCTCTGCCTCAGGGGAACGAGAGCTTCTGCCCCAACTCCGACAACTGCTACAGATATTGACTATGAGGCTACAGTCACTGAATGCCGCATAGATCTGCGGCTCAACTAATTTAACACAGATAGGATAGCTTCTTATGTATTAGGATATTTAATATTAAGGTAACTAAATGGTGGCGAAGGTGTGGCTATTGGGGGAGGCTGGAGGCCACTTTAAAAAAAAAAAGTAGTAGTAGTGGTAGTAGTAGTAGTAGAACGTTGATCAAGGCAGTTTCACTCCTCTAGTGTTCACAACCTCTGGTGGGATGGAACCAAGTGTAAGATGCTTCTACGCCAGACTTGCAGAGGTGCTATCCGAACAGAAGCAGCAGCCCAGAAGTTATGTTACAGCCTGGATGAGATGTCGACTGTCCTTCTCTCTCCCTAGGTCGGCATTGCTCTGCCTCAGGGGAACGAGAGCATCGGCCTCAAAGCCGACAACAATTGCAGATATTGACTATGAGGCAACAGTCACTGAATGCCGCATAGATCTGCGACTCAACTAACTCAACACAGCTAGGATAGCTACTTTTGTATTGGGATATTTAATTTTAAGGCAATAAAATGAAGGCGAGGGTGTGGCTATTGGGGGAGACTGGAGGCCACATTTTATAAAAAAAATAATAGTAGTGGTAGTACCGTAGTAATAGTAGTAGCAGTAGGAATGGCATGTCGATGGAAAATGTTGACATATGGGATAAAGACTCTTACTCAGAAATTGTCAGGTGGTCGCCAGCTAACCTGTTTGAACCACCCAAGTGTGCGGCCACCAAAGAAATGATTCGGGAGATGATTCGCCTCATAACGGATTACACTCAGGACTGTTTCCTCGCCCCTTTAGCTCTTCAAATACTGGCAACAATACCACATCTATTCTGTCAGAGGACACACACAAAGACTAAGCACAAAGAAAATACGGCAGCAATGAAGAGAAGATTGACAATGCGGCAGAATGGGGCCCTTGAGGATCTCCTATGTGAAGGAAGAACACCGAGAGACTAAAATTTATAGGTGTCGGAAAGCAAAACACCGCTGACGTTGCAAGAAAGTTTGGAAACAAAATGCGTGTGGGAAAAGTGTCTTCGGCGGTAAGATCTCTCACAGAGGAATCCTCCGGTCGGGTTCTGCCAATAAACAGGGAGACATTAAAAAAACTGAAAGAAAAACATCCCCCTGCAAGTGAAGATGACGGCATCAGGTTCCAGGGTGACTATATCCCACCAAATGCTGCCCTGTTCGAGAAAATAACAGGAGGGATGGTGTGGAAAAAGGCACTGAAGACACGAGGAGGTGCCGGCCCTTCAGGCCTGGATGCAAACGGGTGGAGAGTCATCCTCAGCACTAACAAGTTTGGCCCCGTAGCAAGTGATTTCTGCACTGCCATTGCCATCCTTGCAAGAAAGCTGGCATCCTCGTGCTGCCATCACCTCCATGCTCTGACGACTTGCCATCTCATTTCCCTGGATAAGAATCCAGCATGTAGGCCTGTAAGGGTGGGGGAAGTGCTGGGCGGATCATCGGAAAATGCATAATGGAGGTGGTAAAGGATGATGTCAGGGCAGCAGCAGGGAACCTGCAAGTTTGTGCTGGCCACCAAGCTGGAGGGGAAGCTACCATTCATGATATGAGAACGATATTTGAGCAGCGCGATTGTGAGGCCGTTCCCCTGGTGGATGCTTCAAACGCATTCAATATACTTAACCGCAAGGCCGCACTGCACAACATCAAGATCAAGTGTCCAAGCTTTGCAATGTATGTTGAAAACTCCTATAGGAATCCATCAGACCTTTATATAGTAAACAACAAGGCTCTAAGAGGGGATACCATCATACAGTCAACAGAGGGAACAACGCAGGGGGACCCTGTTGCAATGGTAATGTACGCAATAGTAGGGTGTGTCATACGGAGGCGAATTTTTTTGTTTGAGTTTGAAAAATCGGCCCATGGTATTAATGATGTAGTTCTATGTGCAGAATCATGTGATATCTTCAGATTTGAAAAGTTTTCATTTTTTGCTAGGTAAATTTTAACTTGAAATCGTATGAAAATTCAGTATTCCCACCCTTTTACCAACACCACTAAATAGCTTATTTAAAGTAAAGTAAATGTATCAGGTTAATTTATTAGGATGAAAATGATCCAGAATAGTGAAACGAATGATCTTGACACATTTATTAAATTTAATATTCCTTTAGAAAACAAAATCATCAAATACAAAAACCGGTTTTACTACTACGACCCGGTGTTGCTGCACACCATAGAGAACATGTCTTTCTTGCTTCTGTTTCTACTCATCACCTCCCTGCTGACCACCTGAGCTCGGATGTAGCCTTCCCTCCTCTCCTGGCTGTACACGTGACTGCTGGCCTCGCTCACTTGCTGTACACAACGCTCTATACTCTGGGTGTGCGAGGGCCAGGCAGGACATGCATGGGGTTGTCCAGGAAAGCTCTGACTTGAACATTGGTGAGGCTGCAGGTAAGAGGGGCTCACTGCCAGCCTGGATGTTATCCAGATCTATGAGATCAGTGAGGGTCTTGGCACCTAGATTGACTTCAGGAGTCTTCCTGACCCTGAAGGAATCGTCACCAACTGATTCGTCATGCCCAGATCCTCTCATAAGTCTCATATCCAAGATCTTTTTGACTGCCACTCTTCTCTCCTCCTCATCCTTACTGCAGAGCATTGTCTGCAGAACTGCCTCGGGATGAGCATACCAGGAAGATCTCCTCACAGTCTGCTCTACAATCTGAACAACCTTCCTTGGCTGACTCCTCAGGAGCTCAAGCTGGAAGAGAACATGCCTCGGACCTTCGGAGAACGATGACTTGACCTTGGTGTTGAACCAATTTGGCAAGTAGACACTCACGATGAATTGGACAATAAGTCTCAGGTTGTGAAGCTGGTTCCCTTTCAGTTTATGATGAGCGACCCAAATTCTGCAAAACCTGAGAGCCGTTGTGAGCCACCTAGAATGTGAGACTGGACCTATCTGCAGGTAAGCAAGTCTATCAGGCATGACCCCAGTTTTGATGGCACTGCAAATCATGTAACCATAGTACGAGTGGAGGGCCAACTGTGATTTTTTCAAAGCTCGGATTTATTTCTAACTCAGTGGCAGAGTCCTTCATCTTACCAAGAGGACCAGACCATCTGTTGTTTGAAAGAGTCTTGCCATCCAGCTCCTGGATCAGATGTCTGAGTGGCAACTCGTTGGTGTGGAGGTCACAAACAATCCAGACCAGCTTCCTCCCAATCTTCCGCTTTATCCACTGTAT